ATCATCATCATCATCATCATCATCATCATCATCATCATCATCATCATCATCATCATCATCATCATCATCATCATCATCATCATCATCATCATCATCATTGTATTGTATAGATCTAGCTGTTGTCGATATTTTCATCATCGCACACGGTCAAAAAGTTATTTCAGTATATGTTAGTTGAACCTAAACCTCTGCTGTACATAGAGAAAGAAAGAAAAAGCCAAGTAGTTTTCATAATTCATGTGAGAGGTCAAAGTTGAAGTATCATGTCACATAAACCCTAAATGTGTGAATTGCTTTATCGTGTCTGTCTCGAACATTCATCTCTAAGCGTGTATATATATACATGCACGTCCCATTCCCTTTTCTTCTTGCCCCCCTCCAAAATAGGATCTACATGTAAACGGTTTTGTTTGGGGGAGGGAGGTAGGAAGGGGTGGTTCGTCTAAAGAAGCAGCGTTTCATGTCTTATCTAAGAAGCTGGGAACAGTAGACAGTGGATTCAAGCGATGATAGCTGAAGTTCTCTATCTTATCTTATCTTCTCTAATCTTCCATTATCTTATCGTATAAGAGTCTTACTGTATCTAATCTGATCTGATCTGATTTGATCTGATCTGATCCGAAGTGATCTAATCTTATCTGATCGGATCGGATCTAGTCGGATCTAATCTGTTCAGATCTGAATGTGGCACGATTTATCTTATCTTATATTATTTTATCTTATCTTATCCCACCAGCTTGCGACTGTGTAGTGTACCAGAGCCACGGGCTGAGCAGTGGGCGGTTCACATCGCCCAACTTCCCTCAGTACTACCCGTCTAACATCAACTGTGTCCTGTACACCTTCATCGGAGACGCCACCGAGATCATCGAGCTCACCTTCATACAGTTTGACCTCAAGATGCCCGACCCCAGCGGGTGAGTGCATGCCACTCTTAGTTTATTAGATTGTTCAGGAGTTTTGTTTTTTGTTTGTTTGTTGTTGTTTTTTGTGGGGGGGAGGTTTGTTGCTTTTTTGTTTATTAGGGAGTGTTTGTTTGTTTGTTTGTTTTTGTTTGTTTTTGTTGTTTTGTTTGTTCTTGTTGTTGTAGCTTTTCTTAGTTTTTTGTAAACCTGTATTTTTTCTCGATATTTCACTCGTTCAAACAAATAAACACTATCATACACATGCTGTGCACAAAAAGATTTTTTTACGTCATGATTTAACTCAGACTTTTTTCTAATGGTTTTTCTAATTCATAATACTGCATGACGAATACCTTTTTTATGGGGGGGGGGGGGCGGTTGAAAAACAAACACAAAAACCAATAGCTCGGAAGGAAAGCTAAAACGTTTTGAAAGGTTTTTCTGGTAAATTGTTATCTTATGAATTTCATTAAAAATAATAATATAGAATCTACGGCAAAAGTCATTCTATTTTTCTTTTTCCTCTTCCACGTCCCCTCCACTTCCCAATATATTTTACCATCTCATACCCACCCAACCAGCGTCTGTGGTGCAGAGGTTAGTCGCTTCGCTGTCGCATGCAGGAGACCCGAGCTCGATTCCCGAGTGGGAAGAATTTCTATAGTCTCTTTTTTTCGCTGCAGTGTTGAATCCCTCTCAGCCCGCCTTGGCCCTGAAGATAAATGACATCTTTATTGATCCCAGAAGGGCAATTTGGTTGACAATGGCAAACATAGATGCACAACTACATAATTATAAATATATACATACATAAATACGCAATATTATACCAATACAGAACAATCACAACCATGCCATTGCTGGTCGCCACTGTGCAGCGCCCTGAATAAGTGTGTTGTTGGAAATGTAGCAGCACCTCTGCACTGCTGTTGTCGTTTGGGTTGTTGTTGTTGTTGTTGTTGCTTTTTTATTGTTGTTATTTTTTTAAACTCTCCCCCACTCACAGACGTTGCTTCGACTTCCTGAGGGTATACCAGAACCTGGAGCGGCCGGAAGTGAACGAGCACAACCAACATGACATGGAGTTTTGCGGCGGTTACAACTCCATCCAGAGCACCATCTACAGCAGTGGGAGGTCTATGGTGCTGGAGTTCCACACAGAGCCCAGGTCTGGTCGGCCGGGGAACTATACGGGCTTCAAGGGCATCTACAGGTTCCTCAATAAAGGTGAGTTATTGGTTTACAAGGG